CTCTGGTTTCCTTGTGGTTTGTCCTGCACTAAAGCTCAGGCCTAAGGTGGATGCAAGATAACTGGTGGTATCTGGCCTCTCTGTGGTGCTGAACCCCTAGTTGTTCCACCTGGTCAGTATGCTCAAAAGCACTGCACTGGAAGGGAAAATTCAGCCCCTCTTGTCCTTGTCCAGGTAAGAACAGATCAACCATTTCAGCTAACTTGGAAGAATGTTTTTGTGCAAGTAGCACATTTAAATGGCTTTTCCCTTGTTATCTTTCCCAGGCAGGCTGGAATCCAGCCACCTCATAGAAACCGGATTGTAGCTGTGTCTGGAGGGGACCTACCAGACCCTTGGCTCACAGCTCATCTGTCCATGTTCTCAGGGGAGACTGAGCCATCTCAGGAGTCATCATGATGCATAGTATTAAATCCTAGGATATGTTTAAGCACTTAAAAGTACTGCTTGAGATGCCATTGGTTCCATCATCATCCTAACAGTGCAAGTAACCTCATTCAACTAAAAAAGTATTTGATTTCCAACCAGTTCGCTGTCATGTCTCAGGATCATGTTTCAGCCAAGAAATGAGCATCACATCTTCATTTCCAGATTAAACAAATAAATGTATTGCATTGTTGTTGTATATCTTGCAGACAAACAAAGCAGTAGCCAAGGGGGACTTCCACCATGCAAGCTCCAGCTCCCGGCGAGCACTATTCCTGGCTGTCCTGTCCATCACAATCGGAACTGGCATCTACGTTGGGGTGGCTGTGGCTCTTATTGCCTATCTGTCCAAAAACAATCACTTATGAGCCTCAGGAAAGGGGGAGAACCAGCCACCCGGTGCCTGCACTGCAGAACTCCCCAGCAGATCAGACTGCATGATTTTCCAAAAAGGTCAAGAGACAAACACCACCTGGGGGCAGGTACAGGATAAGACGGGCTTGTGCATTATTGTAGGGTGGGAAGCTGGCTGGGGTGGGGATAGTTCCATCATTTGTGATGCACAAGTCTTGCTTCTCTTCATGAACTCCCATACAAGAAAGAAAGAAAGAAAGAGAGAAAGAGCAAAAGAGAGAAGGAAAAAGAAAAGGGGGGAGAGAGAGAGAGAGAGAAAACCTAAAGGCAGCAGTTGGGGGAGGTGTGGAAAGGGGTGTTTTGCCTTTGCCTTCTTTGCAATATGGTGTTTACAAGAAGCTGGCAAACTGAGCTATTCTCTTAATACCTTCTTGGTCACCTGAACTTTGCAGCCAGCATGAGCTTGTGCTTAGTTTGCTTGTTAAGCACCACTGAGATCTGGGAAAGCATGGACAGTGGCTGGTTCTCTGAAAGAGCAATATAACAGCAGGAGGAAGAATATGTTTTCTTTTTTTTTGAATGCAGGACTCATTTGCCTAAGAGTGAAGCAGAGACCTCAGCGTAGAATGGTATTGCCTACTCTTCTTGTGTGGGTAGGTTTCCACGGAAGGACAAAAGGAAATAAAATTTTTTTTTTCTTTCCTATCCTTGTTTTTGGCCCACCCAATGCAGAACAGCTGAGGTTACTGCATGACTTGGCTCCGCAGACTGAGTGTGAGGTCGAAGTAGCATGGGATCTGTTGTAAAATGAATTCCTCCATCCAGTCACATCCTGATAACAGCACATTCCTGTGACATATTGCTCGTCTGGGTTGCTCCGCCCTACCGTGGAGACCTGCATAGCAGTCAATGCAAGAAGTCTGGGGTAAAAAATGCAAACTGAAATACTAATCAATTTTAAATTAAAATCATGGTAAAGCATGGGAATTAACCGGGGGAAGGAATGCTTCATACATGTCTGAGGTACTGCTCATACACAGAGCAGTGAAGGAGACCACTCAGATTACAAGCTCACAGCTCATCTGTGGACCGGGGACACAGCATAACCATGGAGAGCCAAGCGTGTCCCTCGATAAGCAGTGCAATGGTACACTGTAAGGGAATCAAGCATTGTCCTTACTTCACTGACTGAAATGATGCATTTATTTTCTTCATTACTCCTTCCCCACAGTCACCCTTTTATTTTTTTTGTCTTACAGATGTACCATTTCATCCCACCAAGGGTGTAACAGCATAGATATATATGTAACTACATATATACAGAGAGAGAGAAACTGATCAAAACAATAAGCATTTTATTATTCACTACCTTGTGTTTTACAAACTTAATTTCTTTACTAAGAATGTCATCACAGACCTTTTTTTCCAACTCTGTATCGTGTGTCAGCTTTGCTCTGGGACAGTTTTTTTCTTCTGTTTTGGGGTTGGTGCTGTTTTGGTTTTAACTTGAGTTTTTTTATTTTAGGGGGGAGGAGGACAGACACCTCCAAAACTATTTTTCTGCTAGTTATACAGTTTATTAAAACACATGGTATACAGCTGCTGATGCTCGTGTGACACTTTCTTTGAACGGATGTGAAGTGTTAGACTGAGTGAAAATTGCCCCAGTACCCCGAGTTCAGCTACTTGGAGAAGTACCCGTATGGACCGTCCTGTACAGTACCTGGACCCAAAAGTTTATCACAGTCACTGACAATTCTTTTACAATGATTTGTTGGGCGTCAAACTAAGACTGGAGACTAGCAAAGTACTTGTAGTCATCTTCGTCAGTTCTCAGCCACCGCTAAAGCTGAGGGCCCAGTAAATGCAGGCCTTTGGCCAGGTTGCCCTATTAAGGTAAAGTCAATTCTGTGGTTCTTCCCCTTCATTTTTTTTTCTAGCAACTGCCATGGAGGCCCCTTGCCTTTGAAGCAAGGCAGTAGTGAGTGGGCAGGTTAGAGTCCCCACTCTCTATTTGCCCCAGTGGGCAGTATCTGGGTTTGGGTAGGTAAGGAACAACGGCACAATTTGCTGCCTCCTTGTTCGTCCAGGAGGATGTGCAGGGTTTCCAGCTACAGTGCTTACAGTAAGGTCTCCAAAGCAGTGTGTCATGGCTTTAAAAACCAAGCTGGGACATGTGTTGCAGTCCTTGCTTCACTTCCCCCTGGAAATCAGGTGGCTGTGAATGCTTCCATTCGCATTTGCCCCCTTTCAAACTATTATTCCCATTCAGGAAGAATGGGAAGTTTCTTTCTTGATTGTTTTTAAGGGTGGAGTGAAGTATTGCTAGACTTGGATGACAACAAGGTCACGTACACTAAGCCTGGATTTATGTCAAATGTATATCTCAGTCCAGATGTTATTTTGCCTCAGTTCATAATATAGAACAGATAGTCAGAGAGGAAACCTTGTCTGAGGCTAGGAAAGCCCTTATCTAGCAAGCGAATACAAGGACTGGAAATACTGGTTATTTATTTAACTTAAATGAAAATATTTCCATCTGGGCCTTTCCCCATTTGTTTTTAATCTAAAATAGGCACAAAGACTGGGGGGAAAAGAAGGTGCAGCAGTATGGACACATCCCCCTCAGCTGCACTCCTAGCAGTACGACCATGGCTGTCTCTTTGAGATACAGCACAGGAGCCCTTCAGGGCCCCGTGTGCTTCAGCAGAGCTGGCTGGTCCTGTGCATTCAGGTGTGGGTACCTCCCTCTGCCTCATGCTCTTCAGTACCCAGGCCAAGGTCTTGCACTGGTATGGGGTAGAGACACAGCCCTTCCACACGCTGACTCCTGTGCTCGTCAGCTGGGTAGGCGATGGGCACGGCTGGAGGTCCATGGGAGCTACACAGCGGGAGGGATCAACTCGCAGCAAAAGCCCCATGTTTTGTCAGCAGAGTTCTCGTCTCAGCCCACAGGTAACATCCAGACTGGGGAGCATGGGCTCCTGCTCATCCATCACTGCCTTGGGAGTCTTTGGGGGCTTATATAGCCCCATCCAAGACCACAAAGCTAAGCACCACACATCAACAACTAATCCATTTGCTAAACAACTCAGACTTAAGTGTGTTTGGGTGTGGTTCATCACAAGAAAGGAGAATGATGATTGGGGTTCAAGATAGCACTCCCAGGACACCAGCCTACCCCTGTGTGAAGGCCCTGAATGCCACAGCATGCAAGATATGCAGCAAGACCTGTGAGCACACATGTTCACTTTTGCAACATGCAGGTGCCCGGTGAGCTTGAATTTGGGTAAGGTAACACATTTCAGTTAGGACTTGGCTTTCACCACAGGCTCCTGTGCTTTGCTCCTGGCATACAGACCAGCCTGAAGAACCACGCAGCTAAGGAAGTAGATTGCCATGTGTAACGTGCTCTTCCGTCACGTCAGCATGATTTGTGGGGAATTATCTCTTTCTCTCAAAGTCTGAACTTTGAGGCATGTGGTATTGAAGAAGAAACTCTGATTTTTCATTTAAAAAGAAAGGAACTAGTATTTTCTGGTCCTGATCTGAATTTAACCTGGAGTTCAAAAAAATGGTAAGCAAATACAGAGACTCCAAGGTCATTATACATGCCTAATAATAATAATAATGTCATTTTTAAAACAGCCTAGTGGTTGAGGGATCTGCCTCATAATATTTTTATGATGGTTGCATAGGCTGACTATTGACCTGAGAAGCAAAAGCCATCTCTGGAGCTAGAAGAAACCTTCTCAGATGGGCAGTCTGAAAAATGCCTTTGCACCTGGCCTTAAAAATAGCATCCCAAACTGGGGAGTGCAGGCTTGCATGTCTCCAGGAACCCTTAAGGGACAGTAAACAGGAGCAGCACTGTGGGAAAGGCCTGCCTAGCAAGAGCACTCCTGAGAGCTGGCTGAAAGCTGAGGATGTGCCTCTGTGCTGCACACGCTGGAGCTGGAGCAACCCACCGTGCGACATGCAACCCACTGGCATGGCAGCCCAGAGGGGGAGACAGAAGCCTGAAGGGGGCTTGTGTCCTGGGGAGGTAGACCTTGGCCTCACTGCAGCCCAAAGTGGGGATAAAGCTCCCGTTGATAAGCTTTCATGCCTTAGTATGGGTCCAGTTTGCTGAATGTCTGCAGCACGGGTATCTACCCAAGGCTGGGGGTCAGCCAGGAGCTGAACAGGGACCTGTTCAGCTTAACCTCTTCTTAAGGTAAGTGATGTTGGCATGGACCACTGCAGAATCTCTGGCCAGCAGAACAGATATAATCCTCTAAAGAAAATCCATGGCATTAGGACTAGAACACCAGTGCTACAGTCTGAACTTCTGCTGAGCAAGGACCTCTGAGGCTGGGTGGGACAAGTTTGCTCCTCAATGGCAGGAATGTTCTTATGAAGGAAGGAGAAATTTGAAGGAAATACTGCAGAGGTAGCATTTGACTCGGGATTTCCTTAGCTGAGGCCTTGGGGTGCCACATGTTGTGATGTGGCTGAAGCAGACAAACCACCTCTGAGCAGAGGCAGCTGCTGGAAGAGCAAGAAGGACCGTGTGAGAAGGACCACATGGGGTGTGCTGGTGCTGTCTCACAGCTTGCAGGAGGATGCATTTGCCTCCAAGTATTCTCTCCCCGCAAGAGTATCTTCTGCTCAGTCTGCAGTGGGCTGTGAGGAGCTGATAAGCATTTCAGCTGCTGCCTTTCTGAATGTTGGCTTTCAAAACACTGTCCACATCACCTCACCACACTGGACTGAAGAAGCAGCTACAGCTACCACCCACCTGAGACACTGAAGCAGCCTGTTGCAGAGACAGAATTTAGGATCTATCTTTGCTTTACCTGTGTCCCTGAAACGAACTTTCTTGTTGGTTTGTGATGAGTCCTGGGACAGCAGCCTCAGGCCAGCACACCAGTGGGGTAATCATGGCAGAGAGGGGCTTGATCCTCACGGAGCTGGAGGAGCAGAGCAGGTGACTGGGGTGACCTTGCGAAAATGTATGGTTTCACAAGAAGTC